GCCGAACCCTCACCCAAGTTATATACGTTTGGTGTACCCTCGAAATCGACTTGGCGAGAAATAGGCCATCGTACCTTAATTATCTATATCATAAGGAACTAAGTGAGTGATAGCGTAGTAAGTCAACTTATGCATGTCATGTATATGAATGTCTATACATGTGTAAAATATAGGTATATGCACATCAAATCCTTTTTCCATGTCATAATACATTTCATGATTAGTTTGAAAATCCTTTTCTATCTTTTGACATGTCACATTAAGGTACTTCGGGGTTTTCATGATATGTGTTTGGCAAACCATAACCGTCTACGAACACACTCTGTCGAGCCTCCAAAAGAGCATGTCTACGATTGCTTGGCCTTGAACCATTACCATTATCTTATGGAAAACCCATGAAGCCCTTTTCTCATAAAAATCCTTAAGTCTTGAAAACCACATTCTTTAAAATATTTCTAATTGCTATTGAAAAACCATGACATAAAAACGTGTTTTCATGACTTTAAACATTTTTCATTAAATTGCATAAGCATTTCATTGATAATGCATAAATGTGAGGCGTATGCCATGAATAACCATGTGATTATGCTATGATAATGTAAGAAATCAATAACATAATTACATTAATGATATTACCTTGTATAAACAATACCAACCATCGCAATCCATACCAATACCAACATACCATTCAAACAACATAATTTCACAATCACCCACATTTCAAACATGTATAACATTCACAATTCAAGCACATCAAATACCATTAAAAAATACAATTATACATGAAATTCCACAAAATAACCTATAATTCCACATTTTCCTAAGTTAGGTCTGAATTAGGTACCAATTTAACCTAATATTTTTCTTCACTCTTTAACATCTATTTCATACCCAAATTCTTCTTCCATTAATTCTAATTTCATTCACTAACTTACATAAGTATTAATTGAATAATTATAAGCATTAATTCTAATTAGGGCCTTAATGGGCCCAAATTCTAACTTCACCATTATAAGTCAATTTTTAGCTTCTACTAAAATCTTCCTTTCTTATTGATTTTATCATACTACCCTAAGATCAAATTAAGTAATTTAAGGTTTAAGGACCAATTAAATCCAAACCCTAAACCCTATTATGCTCTTCTCATTTCCTCCTAAAATCTTAATACCAAGTAGATTAGGTACACATTATCAATAGGAGTTGATTTAATTAACATTTATGGTTCCCTTTCTTGCCTAAACCCGAATTGGGTCGAAATTGGGCCTAAGCCAAATTAATGAATTTTCTTCAGATTCTTCCTTCTTACACATCAAATTATACTAATTCAAATGCTAATTGACCAACAAACCTTGAATTGAATGAATGAAATTCAAACCCTAAAAACTCAAGATTAGGCTGAATGGTACCCTAAGCAATTCATGGATTTTTCTTCAATCAAAGTGAGGTTTTTCATTCCTAAACACTAATTCATACTTAATTAAGTCATAATCAAAAGCTAGAACATTAATTACATGTAAGGATTAAAAACCCTCCAAATTAGTCATTTTGGTCGACAAGTACCCATTGAATAACTTTAGGAATTTTTGAGTTTTAAGCCTCAAATTATAGCCTAACTAAAATATTTCAACTTCAATTGCATGAATTATAAGCTCAATTTTAATTCTCCTAAATTTAGTTTATCAAGAACACCGGCCCTAATTTTTGAAATTAAATCCAAAATTCACAAATTAAAGTAGATAAACCACTAATTAACATCAATTGAACGATCCTTGTGATGTAGGTGGAGTTAAATTATCTAGATAAGCTCTAATTAAACTTTAAAAAGTGAAAAGATTGAGCAATTCTTCCTCCCTTTTCCTTCCACCAAATTCGGCCTAACTTGAAGATTTTCCTCTTGATAATTCTTGATCTCTTAACTTGATTTCCTTACTTGATTAGTTGATTTAAGATGTGTGGAGGTGATTTTAGTGGTTTTTGGGTGGAAATTTCTAGAGAAATTTGGCAAGAGTATCCCTTGATTTTAGCTATTTTTCATACATTTTCTCTAATTTATTGCAACCCTATTTATACGCAAATCTTTGGTGGAATTCCGACGTCATCTCCACTAGTGAATTGCTTGGGTTTTAGAGTGATCTTGGCCTTAAATTATCTCTTAATCCTAGCCCTTCAATTGGACAAGTTTCTAACCTTTAATTTTTCTTTAATTCCTAAACCTCCATTTTCCATCTCTCTTAACCTTTCCTTTTTAAGTGAGTCAAATTTCATTAATTAGGCCCTAATCATGGAGCAAATTGGTTGAAAGGATGGAGAAGTGTACAAATTTTTCTTAATTTTAGTTCCTCATTTTACTAATCTTTTCTCTAATTACTCATCCAAGCATCCTTTAATTTTTCAATGGACCACTTTAGGTCCTTCTCTTAAAGATATCTTAACAACTTTTAAACTCCTTAGGTTCATTGATAATTTGATTTAGAAGTTCAAACTTTTAATTTTATGCAATTAGGTCCTTAATTCTACAATTTTATTCTATACCTTTCAAAAATTCAATTTCACTCTAGAATAAATTCCAATATTTATTAAAATAATTTAATCATGATTTATATAATTTTTATATCCTCATTTATGTCTCTAAATTAATTTTTTAGTGTGAAAATATCACTATTTCCTATAAAAATATTCCTTATACAAGGAAAAATTAATTTAAATTTATTAGACACTCATACACATTCCAAATGATTTTCGTCTTCCTTTAAAAAAATTCCTTATACTTTTTAAGTGCCTAATTTAATTATTCAAGCTCTAAAACATTATTCCTACACATGAAAATTCAAATAAAATATTCACAACATATAAAATAATTCACATAATCACATAAAATAATTCAACACCCCTCTAAAAATATTGTAAGCAAATAATATATTTTTCATGCATATGCAACATGCCTCAAATAATTATTTCATGCAAAAACTACTATTTGTGTATCGTAAAAATTAATAAAATATTCATTAAGAATAAAAAGACTATTTCGACTATTCTAAATATTCTTTCAAGCCCTTAAAAATTATCTTATACCTTCAAAATATTTCTCCTTTAAAATATTTCTTACATGTGTATACTATTAAACTTTTATTTAATTTAGTTTTAGAGGGTACCAGTTATTACAAATAGAGCATAGTTGGTTTAGTCTAAGAGCTAAGACATTTGAGAATCGAAGAAAACTTATGTGATCATAATCGAACAAGACTTATGACCAAGTTTGAGATCACACTCGTGATAAATTGACATGAGGACTGAATTGTATGATAACCAAGCTCGTGAAAGGTAATAACGGATTAATTAATCTTTCTAGAGAATTGGGTAGTCATGATGCCTTGCTAGAGGCCAATCTTGACTTCGTATCAAGAGATAAAAGATGTATCTTTTGTTCTTGGTTTATTGTCAATATATTTAGGAGTCTATTGAGTCACCACATGCATAAGTTTAATCATTCACTCGATTGAACGAAGCAAAGATATTGAAAAAAATTTTCAATTTTGAAAGTTTTATATTTTGGAAAGGGTTTCGAAAATGATATGTTTCTCATTTTAGAAATTAGTTTCTTAATTTGGATGTTAGTTCCAAATTTGAAAGTAAATAACCTCAAATGAAAATTAGTTTCCTAATTTAGCTTCAAGGGTAATTTGGAAAATTATTTCTTAAATGTTGGCCTCCTAAAATTCTCTAAGTTTATTTATTTGAATAGTCCAAATTAATTAATTGAGTCAAAATAGTTTTAGGCCAATAGATTTGATTAAAAGCTTGAAGATATTTCGGTGGGAGGATAAACATGAACCTTATTGAATAAGGATGAATGTTTTAAAGATAAAGATCAAAAGCCCACATATTAAATAATTCCTAATCCTTAGAGGATTAGGAAGCAACTACCAAGAGTCCAAATTAGGATACGTTATCGCCCCTCTCATTGTCCTTGGAGGACAAGGAAACTCTTCCCCCATAAATAGGAGGAGAGATGCGGCAACAAGTAAGAATTTTTGGGGAGAGAAAATTCAACACAATTAAAAAGAGAGTTAGGGTACATGGAAAGAGAAAAATAAAAGGAAAAAATAGTTTTCTCCTAAAACCCCTAGCATACACCACTTTTTTTTTTCCTTGGGTTGTCGTAAAAATTTCTCGGATTATATTTCTATAGGAAATACTAAATAAATAAGAAAAGGTGGAGCTAGCATTCTACCAATTTTGAGTGCTTCTTTGTGGTTACTTAGATCGTATGGATAATCAATAGAGGCCGGATATTTAGACGGCTCCTTTCTCTACTAAAGAATTTAGATCTATGTTACAAAAGGTAATTCTCTATTCATCGTTTTAATTCATGAATATATGGTTAATTGATTCAATGACATGATTTTGGGCCCATTAGATGGAGAAATTTTTTATTTTATTCTGTACCTCCATATGATGCATGATCCATCATCTAGTGGCTTCATTCTTGACAATATTTTATGGAATTAAGTAGTTGATTTAACAACGACTTCATTGATTGTTACTAGTTTTTCAAAAAAAATTTTTATAGGAGATCATATACATGTCAATATGATAATAGTAATAGCTATTCACATAAACATTTTATATTCATAGTTTGTTGTAATTGGTCCCAATGTAGACTAATGGTAGGTGCCATTTTTTTGTCCTTAATAGAAGTCAATCTTCATCACCCCACTTTCATATGCAATATTTGTGTGCTTCTTCATCCTCATTACAGCTCCAGTTCCTTCCAAAACAATCTTTACTAATTTCTTATCTTCTTAGTTTTCTTGCCAATCATTTATCAAGAAATATATATAATTTAATTGGATGTTACATCTTCTTAATAGAAAGAAGGTTGTAAGTTCAAATTTCCTCTTCACGAGAACTTCCCCTTATACATCAAGAAAAAAACAAAAAGAAACAAGAATTCCTAGTTCAAATTTCCATTGTACAAATTTTATCAACTAGCAAAACAAATGGCAGAGGTAGTTTTGTTTAGTATTATTGATAGAATCTTAGGAAAACTAGGAAACCTAGCCCTTCAAATGATAGGACGGATGTTGGGTGTCAATGATGAGCTTGATAAATTAAGGAATAAAGTTTCGATTATCAAAGCTATATTTTTGGATGTAGAAGAGCTTCAAACAAAGAGCCATGAGGTTAGAGATTGGCTTCACAAGCTTAAAGATATAGTTTATGATACGGAAGACTTACTAGATGATTTCTTGATGTAATAGCGAGCTAATGATCCAGGATAAGAAGGCGATAGAGATCAATGCTTTCTTTTCACGGATAAAGAAGACTACATATGGCGTAAACATGGCTTACAAGATTAAGGTAATTAGGGAGAGGTCGAGTGATATAACTATAGACAAGAGTAAATTTTTAGATGACGAGCTTGTGAGAAATATTTTTATAGTATGGCCCATGTGTCATGTTTTGTTTTAAATTTATAAGTGATAATTTAAAGATTTAGAGCTCGATGGACTTTAGTGGTGAGCTAGGCACATCCATGATGGATGGAGGTGCAAACTTAGGTTAAAGAAAGAGTCCCCGGTCTAGCTATGTAAATAGTAAGTCAAGCTTGTGTTTTTCATCAACACATAAAAACCCTAAAGTATTGGCATAGACTAGAAGACTCTTTTTTCTTGACGGCTCTAGTTTTTTTTCATTAATATCTTGAGCACTTAATCAATCATGACAAGAGGTATGTATCCTATCAATTTTCATTACGATTATATGCTTAGACATATTTAATTATCATATATGTGGCATTAGGGCCCTCTTCTTGCTATTTTGATTAGTGTTGAAGAATCTTTTTTAATAAAATTATCGCACATGTAATTGAATAATATGGTATAATTGTGCCTTTGGATCCACCATCTATATGAGCCGCCATTTATTTTGTTTACAAACAAAGTGGTACAGTTTGTCTTTACCAATTTTCATGTAGCTAAAAAAAAAACATGACCATTAAACTGTTTTGAATGGATGGTATGACAAGTAAGGACAAAAGGCTAACAATTGCCAAAATTGCATTTTTTTATATATGAATCACATGGCCTTGGATCCATGGCATGCATATTTTTATTACTTATTTAATGATTCAATATATATGAATCACATGGCCCTGGATCCATGGCAAGTATATAAATCACAAGCCTTAACTTATTAAAGTCCTTAGTCCGTGAGGTGTATATGAATCATAAGTCCTACACTCAATTATTTGCTTGTAAACAATGTTTTTTAATATATCACACATATATTATAGGCTCTATTAGCATAAGTTATATGCAAAAGAAATTACTAATAATAATAATAAATAAATAATAAAATGATTTATATCATTCTTTTGATATGTCAATGTAGAGTTATGAGTTGATATTAAAGCAAACTATGTTGAGATGGTGATGTCAATTGACTTAGGTATAGCCACAACATCTTAAGTTATTTTTATGATCACATTAAAGTTTATTAAATTAATATGCTCATAAAGTGCATAGCTTAATTTGTAATTATTTTATAAAAATAATGACTTGACCCTACGGGAAGGTTGCTATTTTTATGATTTAATTAGAATAAGATAATAAATTGATATTAAGAATGGATTCTATTCTAGGCTCTCGGGTGTGAATATTTTTTATTCTTGATATTTTATTTATCAGTTTTATTATTAAAGAATTAGTAAATTCTATGCATGATCCAACCTTTACCCACGGGAAGGCTAGAATTTACTATTAAATTGACATTGGTTAATTTAAATAAAGTATTTTTTTCATAGTATTAAAATCTTTTCTTGGTTATTGCAGCTTTTCCTACTACTTTTATTGATACATCTAGTATTCCAATGCTATGTGGTGATAATTTTACCGATTGAAAAGAAAATATTCTCTTTGCATTAGGGTGCGTGGATTTGGATTTAACCTTATGTGTGGATGAACTACCCATCCCCACGAATTCAAGTGATGCACAGGAAAAGACTAATTATGAGCGATGGGAGCGATCTAATCGCTTAAGTTTAATGCTCATAAAGTCTCGCATAAATAAGAGTATTAAGGGTTTAATCCCCGAATGCTTTAAGGAAAAAGATTTCCTAAAGGCCATGGAGGAATAATTTGTTCATTTTGATAAGGCATTAGCAACCACCTTAATGAAAAAGCTTGTCGACAAGTCATTTGCCTATTTTAAAGGTGCGCGCGAGCACATTATGGAAATGAGGGACAACTGTCTGCTCAATTAAAGTCCTTAGAGGTAGCGATTTTTGAGTCATTCTTGGTGCATTTCATTTTGAACTCTCTCCTTGTGAAATATAATCCGTTTAAGATTTTTTACAATACACATAAGGAAAAATGATCAATTAATGACTTATTGACCTTGTGTGCTTAAGAAGAAGGGAGATTGAAACTTGAGAAACTTGAAAGTGCTCATTTGGTTTCTCAAGCTTAGGAAAATTCCAAGAAGGATAAAAATGTTCTAAAAGTGAAGAAACATGAAAATATACCTATAAAGCAAAATGGTAATAATAGTAAATGTTTCTTCTACAAGAAATGGGGACATGTTAAGAAAGATTGCCGTAAGTATCAAAAGTGGCTCGTAAAGAAAGGTAAACTCATCTCTTTAGTATGTCATGAATCTTTTTTTATTGAGACTCCTAGTAATACATGGTGGATTGATTCTGGTTCTATAATCGATATTGTGAATACCATGCACGACCTTTTGAACTTAAGGAAGTCGAAAGGAAATAAAGAAGGCAACTATTTAGGAAATTGGATGCACTCTAAAGTTGAAGTCGTGGGGACCTTTAGATTAATTTCAAAATCTGGATTTATTTTGGATTTGGAAAATGTCTTTTATATTCCATCCTTTTCTAAAATTTGATTTCAATTTTTAGACTATGTAGTATTGGCTATGGATTTTTGTTTAATGAAATTTTTTTTAGTATTTTGAAAAATAAAATTTCTATCGGTGGTGGAACATTAATTGATGGTTTATATAAAATTGATCTAGACCACACTTTTGAGCTCAACTATTTATCAATACATGTTAATATAGGTATTAAAAGGAGAAAAATTGATGAGAATTCCTCCATATTGTGGCATAGGAGATTAGGTCACATGTCCATTGAAAGAATTAAAAGATTTGGAGAATGATGGAGTTTTAAATGCTTTTGATTTTACTGATTTTGGTAATTGTGTGGATTGCATAAAGGGAAAGCAAACTAATAAGACCACTAAAGGTGCCATGAGGAGCTTAGAAATTTTAGAAATCGTTCACACCGACATATATAGATCGTTTAATACTCCTTGCCTAAATGGTTAGAGATATTTTATCTCATTCATTGATGGCCATTCTAGATTTATGTATCTTTATCTTTTACATGATAAGGCTGAAGCACTTGATGCTTTTAAGACCTTTAAGGTTGAGGTAGAGTTACAAAAGGAAAAGACCATTAAGATTATGAGGTCTAATAGAGGTGGTGAGTATTATGGTAGGTACACTAACAAAGGATAAATGCTAGGTCCATTTACAAAGTTCCTTAAAGGAGAGAGCATTATTGCATAATATACAATGCCCGACACACCACAACAAAATGGTGTAGCTGAAAGAAGGAATTGTACTCTTATGGACATAGTAAGAAGCATGATTGGTAATTCTAATTTACCATTATCCTTACGGAGTGAAGTACTAAAGACTCGTTGTGTATGTTCTAAATAGAGTTCCATTTAAGACTCTCTAAGACACCTTTTGAATTATGGAATGGATGGAAACCTAGTTTAAATCATACACATGTATGGGGTTGTCCTGTTGAGGTAAGGATTTATAATTCTCAATTAAAGAAATTAGACCCTAGAACGACTAATGGATATTTCATTGGTTATGTAGTAAACTCTAAAGGATATATATTTTATTATCCTTCTCATAGTACAAGAATAGTAGAGGTAGGAAATGCTAAATTTCTTAAGGTTCTCAACCTTAATAAGAGTGATTTTCTCGAAGAATAGAATTTGAGGAAACATAAGATTCAACTATGTTGCATAAAGATACAAGGCAATTGGTTATTTTTTAAGAAAATCAATTAGATAATATTAAATAACAACCAATTCTTGAGCAACAAGTTCAAGGGCATCTAGCTCTTGATGAGATAAACCCACATCAAGATGTTGAATTGAGAAGATCTTCAAGAATAAGGAGGCCAACAATTTCTAATGACTATATTGTATACCTTCAAGAGTTTGACCTTGATGTTGGACTTAAGAATGATCCAAACTTAGTTTCATAAGCCATGAATGGAGAAAAATCCAATTTATGGTATAATGCCATGAAGGAAGAAATGAAGTCTATGCATAAAAATCAAGGTTGGGACCTCGTCGAATTACCAAAAGGATCCGTAATCATTGGTTGTAAATGGGTTTATAAAACCAAAAGAGATTCTTACGGTAATATCGAACGATATAAAGCTAGACTTGTGGCTAAGGGTTATACCTAAAAAGAAGGCATAGACTATCATGAGACTTTTTCTCTTGTCTCTAAAAAGGATTCATTCGGAATAATAATGGAATTAGTAACTCATTTTGACTTGGAGCTGCATCGGATGGATGTGAAAACAATATTTTTAAATGAAAATTTGGATGAAGAGGTATACATGAATTAACTTGAAGTTTTTTGTGATAATATAAATAGTCACTTGGTTTGTAAGCTAAAAAGATCTATGTATGGGCTAAAGCAAGCCTCCCGACGAGTGGTATATTAAGTTTCACAATGTTATTATCTCATATGGTTTTATTGAGAACATTATTGATCAATGTATATATCTTAAAGTTAGTGGGAACAAATATATTTTTCTTATCTTATATGTAGATGATATTTTGCTTGCATGTAGTGACTTAGGTTTGCTTCATGAGACTAAGCAATTTCTTTCTCAAAACTTTGATATGAAGAATTTAGGTGAAACGTCTTGAGTTATTGGCATAGAGATTCATAGAGACAAATCTCAAGAATATTAAAAGCTGTCTCAAAAGGCTTAGATTGAAAAAGTTTTGAAAAGATTTAGATGTCAAATTGTGTATCTTCAATAGCACCTATTGTCAAAGGGGATAAATTCAATCTAAATCAATGTCCACAGATTGCATTAGAAAAGGAGCGGATGAGTAGCATTCCTTATGCATCCGCGATAGGCGATTTGTTATAGGTACGAGTCCGTATAAGATCCGACTTGGCATTTATAGTAGGAATGCTAGGTAGGTTCCAAAGCAATCCTGGAATGGATCATTGGAAAGCTACTAAGAAAGTCATGAGATATCTATAAGGAACCAAGAATTATAGACTAATTTACGGACATAATAATTTCCTTAAGATGGTTGGTTATTCATATTCGAATTTTGTTGGTTTTGCAAACACAAGAAAGTCTACTTCGGGATACATTTTTCTTCGTTAGAGGAGTCGTGTCTTGAAAAACCACTAAGCAAACTATTGTTACTTCGTCTACTATGGAAGCATAATTCATTACTTGCTATGAAGCAATAACACATGCTATTTGGTTAAGAAACTTCATTTATGTTCTACAAATTGTCGATTCCATATTAAGACCGGTAAAGATTTATTATGATAATTCGGTTATGATTTTCTTCTCTAAGAATAATAAAAGTGAAAGGCGAAATAATCATATCGACATAAAGTAATCTCATTGTGAGAGAGAAAGTGAAGGAACATGAAGTGATCATTGAGCATATTAGCAGTGAGCTAATGATTGTAGATCCTATGACTAAAGCACTACTTGAAAAAATAGTATAGAGAACATATGGATTGTATGGGTCTAGCTAACCCATGTATTGTTTGACTTCATTTTCTTTTATTGATTGTCTAGATATTTTTTAAGTCGTTCTTAGAGATGTGATTTTTGTACACATAAAGTATTAATTTTATTTTCATTTTGATAGACAATGTTGGATTCAAATGACTTATTAGAAGTTCATTCATAAAGTTTATTTGCTCATTAAGTTCTTGTTTTAATGATGTAATATATTATAATACATGGAAGGAAATGCTTAGCTATAAAGTATGATCGCTATGATTCATATATTGTATTCTTAATCTAAATATGAGTGTTTTTACTAACTAATCATTACGTACTCTATAAAGAAATTGTCATTTTTGGGAGTGTCATATGGGCTAAGTGGGAGAATGTGAGAAATATTCCTATAGTGTGGCCCAAATGTCATGTTTTGTTTTAAATTTATAAGTGATGTATAATTTAAAGACTTAGAGCCCAATGGACTTTAGTGGTGGGCTAGGCACATCCATGATGGATAGAGGTGCAAAATTATGTTAAATAAAGAGTCCTTGGTCTAGCCATATAACTAGTAAGTAAAGCCTATGTTTTTTATCAACACATAAAAACCCTAAAGTTTTGACATAGACTAGAAGACTCTCTCTCCTTGACGACTCTAGTTTTCTTTCAACAATATCTTGAGCACTTAATCAATCATGGCGGGATGTATGTATCCTATCAATTTTCGCTATATTTATATGCTTAGGCATATTTAATTATCTTATAATGCTATCCTAGACATATGCCTACAGCCACTATATAGAGAGAGCAAACTCATTCTTTTTTATGTGTAGAAGAAGTTGTAGAGAGAGAGGATGATAAATTGACCATTGTAGAATTGCCATTGCAATCTGATACTGAAGAGAATGTTTCTATTGTACGAATATTTGGCGTTGAAGGGTTAAGAAAGACCACGCTTGTGCAGCTCATTTACAATGATGAGAAAATCCAAAGGCATTTTGAGCTAAGGATGTGGGTGTGTGTTTCTGATGTGAATTTTATAGTCCAAAAAATTTTGGAATCTGCAACTAATACTAAATGTGACGACCTTGAAATGGATTGCTTGTTAACTCACTTTCGAAAAGAAATTGATGGCAAGAAAGTTTTGCTCATTTTGGATGATGCATGGAATGATAATAGTGAGAAATGGCTAAAGTTGAGAGATCTATTAATGGGCGAAGCATGGGGAAGTGAGGTTGTAGTAACTACACGCACTCAATTGATCGCGACAATTACTGGCATAACTAAACCATATTTCCTGAGAAGTCTTTCTGAAGATGAGTCTCGGCCTTTATTTGAAATGTTAGCTTTTAAACAAGGGCGAGAGTTGGAAAATACAAAACTTGTAGCAATTGGAAAAGGTTGTACAGAAATGTGCTGGAGTTCCCCTAGCCATAAGGATTATGGGAACCTTTTTTTATTGGAAAGATACAGAAAGTGAGTGGCTCTCTTTTAAAGATAGAAATCTTTTGATGATACCTCAAAATGAGAACGACATCTTACTAATATTGCAGTTGAGCTATGAACTACTTCCACCATGCTTGAAGCAGTGCTTTGCTTACTACTCCTTATTTCCAAGGGACTATGAAATCAATAAGCCAAAACTGATAGAACTCTAGATGGCACAAGGTTTTCTTCAGCCAACCGATGGAATGCAACATCTCAAGGAAATTATTCATCAGTATTTCGTGGATTTAGTTGGGTGATTCTTCCTCCAACATTTAGAATATGATGAATGGGGTAATGTGGTGAGTTGGAAAATGCATGATCTTATGCATGACCTTGCACATTTAGTTAGGGGGAGTGAGAGCTTTACAGTTAATTCTAATGCAGAAAATATACGTGAAAGAATCCATCATGAATCCCTTGTCTTTAAATTAGATTCTTCACAGAAAATTCCCACCTCGCTCAAGGCAAACAAAATTCGGACATTTCTGCTGCCCACGCAACCAATTTATCTTTAAATACTGAATCAGGCTCCCCATGATGCAGTTATTTCAAGTTTCAGGTGCTTGCGCACATAAGATTTTCACAACATGGGTTGACATCTTTCCTAGTCCAATCAGTAAACTGAAGCATTTACGGGTATCTTGATCTCTATAAGAATGAAGCTCTAAAAAGACTACCGCATTCCCTTACCAGACTGAAGAATTTGCAGACACTCAAAACTCTCTTCTTGTAAAAGGTTAGAAGCACTGCCAAAATGTATCGGAAAAATGATCAGTCTTAGGCATCTTGAGATTGACCATTGTACTGGTTTGACTCACATGCCAAATGGTCTGGGCCAGTTGACTGCTCTTCAGAAATTAACACAGTTTATAGTTGGAGAGTATTTCTACTCTCTTAATCTCAGTGCGTGGCTGAGGGAATTAAAAGGCCTAAACAACCTCCAAGGAGAGTTGAGAATTGCAAAGTTAGAAAACTTGAAAGTTTCTGCAATTGAATTAGAGGAAGCAAACTTGAAGGGAAAACTGAACTTAGAGGTCTTGAGATTAGAATGGACCAAAGAAGTTAACGATCACAGTGTTATTGACGAAGATGAAGCACTGTTAGAAGGCTTCCAGCCACATTCTAATCTTAAGGAGTTTCACATTTACGGGTATAGAGCTGGAAAGTTTCCAAATTGGATGATGCTTAACTTGTCTTTGTTACTCCCAAATCTGCTAGAAATCATTACATGGAGATGCTACAGATGCTTAGAACTCTTGATATTTAGTCAGCTACCTATGCTCAAGGTTCTGAAGCTTGAAGAGATTATTGCTTTGGAGTACATAGAGAACAACAGTAATGGGTCTTCTTCATTGTCTTCATTTAGGGGTAATCAATTAAATAGAGGAGAAAGAGTAGAGCAATCGACAGTGCTCTTTCCGAGCCTGCAAGAACTTAGACTCTTTGACTTGCGTAATTTAAAGGGATGGTGGAGGGAATAAGTTGTTGCAGTTAATAATGATGAAGCAGCTATGAAAACAGGAACATCAAGAATACCACTTCCATCCACAGCATCCTGTTAGGGGAAACAACGGCCACTGCATTAGCAACTAGTTTTGCCATCATTTTCTTGTGTTTCAAAAATAACTGTTGGTCACTGCCCGAAGCAATCAAACTTGCCATTGCATCCATTTCTTGATGAAGTGGAGTTCAAGGATGTGAATGCTGGGCTGGTACAATGGTCAATGGTGGTTCTTTCTTTAATAGAAAGGAGTTCAGCATCAGCAAGAAACATTTCACTTCCTTCCTTCCCTTTCACTCATGAATTAAAGCATTTATGTATTGACAATGTCAATGGATCTTGTTTCAACGTTGGAGTTAGGGTATGTTAGACAATCGAACTTTCCTTGAGCATCTAACCATAGAAAATTATCCAAATCTGTCATGTCTGCCAGGGGAAAGTTTAAGGGGATTATGGTCACTCTGTTTTCTCTACATTAGTGGTTGTGGAAGTCTAATATCACTGCCCCTAGGATTGCAATTTCTCACATCCCTTGAAAAGCTTGAAATCAAAGAGTGCAGAGCGCTTGATCTGTCAAATTGCAATGAAGAGTACAGCTTACAATTTCGAAGGCTGAAGAGCCTTCGTAGACTGAAAATTAGAGATATGCCACGGCTAGAATCTATACCAGATGGGATTCAAGAAATTATGTCATTGCAAGATTTAAGGATTACAGGTTGTGCTAGCTTGAAGACTTTACCAGAATGGATTCATAACCTCAAATTACTTCAAAGGCTTGACATTTCTGATTGTCCCAAGATCAATTCTCTACCATATGCTATGCTATGAGTTTCATGAACGCATTGCAAATTATGGAAATTTCTAACTGTCCTAAGTTGCTGAGAATATGCAAAAAGAGAACAAGCATGAACTGCCCTGAAATCACTCACATCCCTCATGTTTATGTTGATCGAAAAAAGATTATGACAAAGCCTGCTGATATGTAAAGCCAATAAGGTTTTTCTGATCTTATTTTGCAGGTCTGCTTGTCTTCTTTGCCCTTAGCTCTTTATAAACTTTCACAATCATCTCTTACTTTGTTATTATTGTTCAAGCTTTGAGAATTTGGCATCTTTTACTTTTTAGTCATTCCCTTTATTATAAAGAAATGAAATGAGCTCAAACATTTATATTGAAGAAAGAATTCAGGAATTGATGTTCAGAAGTGAGTCATTTTATTTTTTGATTCACTGGAAATGTCCATCCATAGCATTGCTCATGTCATAATTAATGCATTACGTCATAATTTATGTGAATCACAAGTGTGTGTATAGATAAAAAAAAAACCTTATTTCATGAACAATCCAGATTGTTGAACTAATTGATGCTGCATACTGTCAATGTTTCTATTATGTTTGATTTCAGGATTCGATTTTTATTGTTTATGGGGCAGAGGGATCTAGTCAGACATTAAAATGGTTGAATTTACGAAAAATTTTATCTGAATTCATGGGACTCGCAGCTTTTATTGGCTTGTACTATATCTGAGTGTAGATAAAGCACTGAATGTCCGTTTGAATCTTTTACTTAAAGGTCCTAAAAGTATTTCACCTTTTTAAGGCTAGACAGAAATTCACTGTCTTTTCTTAGAATTTGAAGTTATCTTCCATAAAAAGTAGTTCGAGTCGTGATACAAACCTTTTGGGGTTGCTCTGAATACTGCAATGTTCTTGTTTAACAATTGAGGATCAAATATACAGCACTTACAGAACTAAAAGTTTTTGAATTTGATCTCCACTTTCTTTTCATTCATGTTGGAATTTTATGTGTATCAGAATCACTAAGTTTAAGGTTGAAAGCTCAAAATCAGTGAAATAGAAAGGAATACAGTTCAGATAGATAATAAACAGGTTATATATGGGCCAGGTATTGAACCTAATAATGGGGACGATGTTATAATAGACTTTCTTATGGGCTGAATTAAAAGAGACTAAAGAGCATTCTGAAGCTCAACGGCTTCCCAATGTTGATGGTTGGTGAGTTCTGAAAGTTGCAGAAGGCTTCTTTGTCATGTTTTGATGCTTGTGTTTTTGTTAGATTTCTCTTGATCAGTTTGGTTGTTTGTATTTCTCTCTTGGTCTGCCCACTGTTGTCCTGCTTTAGTTTTGTGCTTGCTCCTGCTGGGGCTTTCTGCCCTTCTTGTTATTTGATCTTGAAACTCGAGAAAGTATTTTTTTACTTATTTATATTGAGATAAGAAAGCACATATTTATAAGCAGAGAGGAAAAACTACATCTGCTTCATAAGTAAAAAATCATATAAAACCCCTAAATTATAGAGATAGCTAGTATTTAGGAAATAGAATAATGATCTACTTCCTAAATAGAATGATTTCTGGAATAATCTAATAATACAAAATCTTTTTACACTTTCCCTTAAGTTGGAGCATATATGCTCATCATTCCCAACTTGCTTACTAAGTCTTCAAATCTTGGTTTAAGCAAACTTTTAGTTAGAATATCAATTCTCCGATTTTTAGCAAGAATATAAATCATGCACACACTTTCATTGTCAATCTTCTCCTTGATGACGTGTTGATTAGTCTCTACATGTTTTATTCGATCATGATGGATAATATTTTGAGCTATACTTACTCGCTACCTTATTGTCATATTACAGTTTCATGGGAAAATTGTTAGACAGTTCAGTTCACTAAACAATCTCTCAAGCCATATTCCCTCACAAATACCTTGAGTTAAAGCCCAAAACTCAACTTCGCACTACTTCTAGCAACCATAGGTTGCTTTTACTCCTTCGAAGTTACAAGATTAACCTAGACATATGTACAATAACCTAAAGTTGACCTTCTATCCAAGGAAGAACCTTCCTAGTTTGCATCGGTATAAACTTCTATCATTCTATATTCACCTTTCTTAAAGATTAAGCCCTAACCGGGAGTACTCTTTAAATAGCTCAAAATTCTATAAGCTACATTAAGACGTGACTCTTTAGGCGAATGCATAAACGGAGTAATCACACTTACTCGGAAAGGCAATGTCCGGTCTTGTGTGTGATAAGTAAATCGGCTTCCCTATAAGCCTTTGATATTGTTCTCGATCAACCTCTCTACGTCATTTAATAGCTAACTTAGTATTTGGATGCATAAGTCTCCGGACTAGTCCGCAACCCAACATATTTGTTTCTTAAAGAAGATCAAGTACATACTTTATTTGTGTAATTGTAATCCTTAATCTGCTTCTAGCAACTTCCATACCAAGGAAATGCCTAGTCCTGAAGTCTTTTAATTCAAATTCTCCTACAATGTACTTCTTCAAAGAAGTCAATTCTATGTGATCATCTCTTGTGAGGATAATAGCATCCACATAAACTATAAGGATGATTATTTTTTCATCTTTAGAGTGCTTATAAAATAGTATATGGTTAGATTGGGCTTGAGCAAAACCTCTTCTCTAGATAAGTTGAGTAAATTTTCCAAACCACTCCCTAGAAAATTGTTTTAACCCATAAAGAGATTTTTTCAATCTACACATCGAGTTGTCTCAGCTTTCAAATCCAAGAGGAGCATCCATATAGACTTCTTCATGTAAATCACCATTCGGGAATGCCTTCTTTACATCTAATTATTGTAGTGGATAATGAAGATTAGAGGCTAAAGAAAGAAGAAATCTTATTGCATTTAGCTTGGCCATTAGAGAAAAAGTCTCTTAATAGTCAATTCCATATGTTTAGGTAAAACCTTTGGCCACAAGCTTGGCTTTGTATCAATTGATACTACCATTAGCATTGAACTTCAATGTGAAAATCCATTGACAACCTACTATTTTCTTCCCTCCAGGTAGTTACGCAATCTCCTAGATGCCATTTTTGTTTAAGGCACTTATTTCTTCTTGAACGGCTACTTTTCATTTTGGGTCAACAAGTGCTTCTTGTATATTTTTTGGTACCCCTATTCTTGATAATGAAGCACTAAAACTATGAAGTTTAGGGGATAACCTTTCATAAGAGACAAACCTGGATATAGGATGTTGAGTATATGACATGGTTCCTTTTCTATGAGCAATTGGAAGATCTAAGTCTAAAGTATGATTTTGAAGCTAAATATCATGCTGAACGGAGTTCACTAATAGCTTCGGCAGAAGACTCGGACTGCGGTCGAATCTTGACCATGCTCGTTTCAAGTTTATCTTTTTTTTAAGAATGTTTCCTGCATGAATAAACAAGTAATTATGGTTGAGAGTTATCTCCCCCTATCTCCAATGTTTCTATATGTGTATTGAGCGACATAATAGGGTGAGATTCAATATCAAGAATTAAAGTTGGAATTCAAGAGAGAGATAGAGATAAGGATTCTATTTTAGGTTTATCACAAGACTTATCTTTTTCGAAACCTCCCTCGAAGATAAGTATTCTAAAAAAGATTCGGACTTAAAAAAGAGACATCTATGGGCATAGAAACAAGAAGAAATGATGGAGAATAACATTTGTACCCATGTTGAGTGGGAGAATATGCAATGAAAACATATTTGATTGGGATGGAAGAAATAAAACGAAAGGTTAGGTAAGTTTTTAGCAAAGGTGACAAAAGAGAGTTACATTTAAGAATTCGAGAGGGCATTTGATTTATGAGATAAGAAGTCGTTAGAACAACTACCCCCCAAAGATATTTTAGGACCTATATGGTAAACATTAAGGCTTTAACAACTTTAAGGAAGTGATGATTTTTTACCACACCATTCTATGAAGGTGTGTTTAGATTTGAACTTTGATGAATTATTCAATTAGTTTCAAGGTAGTTTCCAAAAATTACATTAAAAAAAATTCTTTTTCATTGCCGAGTTCTTAATGTTTGGATAGAGGAGTGAAATTAGGTTTTTATCATTGAATCTAAAGTTTAAAATGTTTTTATAGTCTCATATTTTTTTAAGTAGATAAACTCTACAAACTTGACTCGTGGTTATCGATAAAGGTGATGAACCAACATGTACCATTAATACTTTTTATATCATAGGGTCCCCATATGTCACGAGAATTAAGAAAAAAGGAAGATAGTTTTTGTATGGTTAGGTTGGGAATGACGTATAAGTATATTTAGCAAGATGACAAATTTCACAACTAAAAGAGTAGGATTTTTATTGATAAATAAACTTGAAAATAGATATTTGAGATAATGAA